AGAGAGTTAATTATTAGCAGAGAGTTCCAGAAACATTTTCTTACTGTTATTTTCCAGACACTAAAGATACTGCTGTTAGAGTTTTATTAATTGTGATACCCATGGCTGTTTTGAGGGATAAATTCCTGCCCCAGTTAATAAAATATCCTTATGCTCAAATTTATTAGGAACATTTATCAGAGACTGATGAGTTTTATCAAGTTTTTTTCTTTTGGTAGTTAAGATAGTGATAGGTTTTCTGCTGTCTTTTGATTATCTATTAATTAATTTCTCCATGTTAATTGATGCAGTATTCCTGGGATAAAGACATGTAAGACCAAATCAAAATCCATACCCACTGCCATTGAGTCGAATCCCACTCCTAGCCGTCATTTATGGGGTTTCTAAGGCTGTGAAATCATTACAGGAACAGTTAGTTTCATTTTTTCTCCCATGGAAAGGCTGGTGACCTTGGACTTAGTAGCCCAATCTATTAACCCTAACATTTAACCCATAGCTCCTTCTAGGCTCCTTCAACACAGGTACAGTGTATTTGAAACCATCAGGATGATGTTGATTTAGCAGCAGCAATGCAACAGTACAACCGAGTTACCAGAAAATAAAGTTCTATTTAAGTGACTGTAAACATTAGGAAACAACATAACTTTGGAAGTTCGTCATCTAATCACTCTCTTTATATTAAAAACAGCTATGCTTTAGGGTTCGCATTGTAATATTATTCTTAAAAAGTTATCTGGAGATTAATTCACTTATTGCAATTATAACTCGTGAGTTGAGTTTTTAAAATTTTTTTATTTTGGCCTTAACTTTCCTTCTTATTCTGAATGTTCAGCAAAAGTGGGCTCTCTATGCTCTGGAAAATCTAACCGTGTCCTAGGTATGGATAAAAATTTACCCTCATCTTCAGTGACATTAAGCTCTGGGCTAGAGTAGCCCATGAGATTCCAGGAGAGACCAGATATAAGAGGAATGTCTACAGAGGTATATTTTGGGCTTCTTACTTTTTCTCTGGGAAATGGATCTAAATTGAGACTTAAGGTGATTCCCACTAGGAATGTGATCACCTGAGCTGTTTAACCTGGCTCCCCTGACCAGATGGTCTTCTGAATGTACACTGTTCAGACCATGTAGAAACATCCTTAATCCTGGTTAGATGTGGGCCAGCACAATGGCCAGGATTTCTTTGGCTTCTGACATGGGGATCCCCACACTCAGATCATATCATCCCCCAGTTTATTAGTGAGGAAAATTTTCCAGAGCAGTGCAGTACCTAGCAGAAGTTATGTGCTGGGATAAGAACTCAAATTTAATGACTCTGAATTCAGTGTTCAATTCATTGCCACATTGGCTTAAAAACTGGTCTCAGGCCTCTTCTACGAAGATACACTCATCAGGTGAGCCCCTTCTTGAACTGTGGCTGATAAAACACAGCCATTTGATCAAACAGTTACATAAAAGCATGTTCCTCTTCATTACATTCAAACTTCAATTTGCTTGTATTATTTCACGTGGTGGTGAAGCAAAAAGTTTCTGGGACTCTGACAATAGTACCAGCAATGAAAGCATTTATATACAGAAGGCATTCATATTTCAAGAATTTAGGACGTTGCTTCTCCCCGTTATTACAGGGGCGAGATTTTTATATAGGACGGTACTTCATAAATTAACCATGGTATCAGTTACCATTGTTCCTTTACTCCAAACAAATAATCAGGTGATACCTGTAAATGGTTCCATTGTAAATACTAGAGAACAGGTTGCTTAAAGCGGATTAGTGAACACTAGAAGAGGGAGTTGTTGATGTGGTGATCGTGTCCTTGGATGCTACTAGCTCTACATCGTGGGGAAGTTGATGTGGGTGGCTGTTTGCAGGTGGTTCTATTATTGGACTCATTTTCTACCACAGTTAAACTTCATGTTTTCCCCACGAATCCATGCCCTTCCACAGTAATATTTCCAACATCCTTGTGAAATGGCCATTTCTGTCCAAAGGCTAGAAATTAAGTCCTCTTTTAGTTTGAGCAAGACGATAATTAATTCAGTAATGACAGTATATAGAACAAGTCCCGTAGTGAGGTTAATGCAAATATTACCATAAATTTGTTATAGCTTAAAACTAATCAACAATTCAGCAAATGTGGAAAATATCCAAAGTCGGGCAATGGTAAAAAATCTCATTTATTCCTGATAGAATTGTTGAACAGTTCTAGAATACATGAGAAAGCAGCAGGGGTATCAGTGAGAGGAATGTTAATAATACAACGCAGAGGTTTCTTTGAAAGAATAAAGATGAAAAAAGTATGGTATGATACTATTTATGCAAAATTTGAAATCACAGAAATAATATTTTATATCTATTCTAAGGATGCTTGCATGGGTGATAAAAGTACAAAACATGCATGTGGTGATACAAGCTTTTGCGTGGCACTTTATGGACTTATTGATGAACAGCATATAAGGGAAGCTATTAACATGTTATAGTTGGGTAGGAAGTAAGTCATTTTATTTTCAGCACTAGTGTATATCTTTTATATAATTCAAATATATTTAAAATATGGCCATAGTGAGATGAGCGAATATTATATCCATTTTTGTGATGGGTCTGGACATTTTTTAAAGGGGTGACTCTTCTTTCATTACGTCAGACCCTTGGTCTGCACAGTTAATTTGAAACAGAGTCTTGTCTTTAAAGCCCAGAAGCAGCAGCCACCCAACATGAGGGCTCAATACTGACAGCTATCTCTGGGTTACGGAGCCCCTGCTAGAATTGATAGTTTGCAGTTAGACACCCAGAGATGCCTGGTGATCTTCCTCCAGGATCAGCCATTGAAAACTCGGTGGGACACAATAAGACTGACCCAGAGGGGGCTGTCACGAGTCCAACACTGGCTTGGCAATAACCGGCACTGTTACTGCACAGGCACATCTAGGCTATGTGTAGGCTAGGATGCCTTGTCAGGATGTGAAGAGCTAAAGCCGATCTATGCAAACGTCGGCAGGAGGAGGCGAGTGCCACTGGGCATTTGAACTTGATGTCAGTGAGACAATGCTGACTCGCAGTGATGTGCCGTGGGTCCCCGAGACTTCTATTTGCAGTCGAAAGGCGAGTCTTTCTCCTGTGGAGCTGCTGCTGCTGCTGATTTCAAACGGCCAGCCACGCGGCTCAAAGCCCCTTGAGTAATCATGATGCCACCAGGCTCAGAGAGGTTTATAATAAGACATGATAGGGAAGGAAGAAAGCAGATTAAGAGATAAAGGAGAGTGTGGTTGAGCCATTCTGGGGAGTCTAGCCAAGCTTGTAAATATAACTTTGGAATACGCCCATAGGCGTAGCATCATTGCCCTCTAGGGTTTGGCGTGAGACCCTCCCTTCTCTTGTGTTTCCCTTTTGAAGGCAATTTAAATGGACCAGAGTCAGACCACTGGGCTCACATCCCCGTGTTCAGTCTTCTCTCTGATTCCTGCATTTGATTTTCTCATGTAGGTATCCTTACGTTTTCAGGAGAAATGGTAGTGTGTGTGTGTTGCTTCAGAAAGTTCATGGGAAAAGAAAATAGAAAGGTAATAGAATTTTTCCACAAATTTTTTGAGACCCCCCACTTCTTGGATGGGAAATATGGGTAGGAAGTCAGTTCAGGACACGTATAGGTGACTTTGGGAAACACACCTCTGGCCCTTCCTTACTGACTCACAGGCATAGAAGAGTTGATGAGTCATTGGAGATTTGCCTGAGATTGAAGTCAGTTGGCAGCCTCCTTCTTTGAAGTCTGTTCAGGCTCAAAAGATAATAATAGCAGAAGTGATTATCTTTCAATGCTACCAGTGTGGGCTTGCTACTCCCTTCTTGTTGCTAGCTCCTCATGCTTTGGGAAGCTACATTCGTTCTGGAAACAATGCCATTAATGCTAGAAGTGGTTTTGCAAGTCCTACTTTGAAACAACATCAACTCACTTGGTCTATTTAGCCTCTGATTTTGCATCTGCAAGAGCTAGGATTGTAATCACTTTAATTCTTAGAGTTGAAAAGCAAAAGCAATGATCTTATATAAATGGTTAAGCGCAATGCAGATGGTTATAGTTAATAAATCATTCCCCAAACCAAATTTTTGTTTTGTAGCTGCTATTTGCTTTTTAGTTAAAAAAATGAAACAAAGCAAAATAACTCAGGGAATTAATGTTACTATCCATGGACGTACCATATGCCACATGAGGGTTATTTATTAAATTCCCCAATAAAATGATAATGATATCTCCAAAGTTAACCAGTGACATAAACTCTAGATAAAAGAATGGATTTTGATTTGCACTTAATCATCAACTCGACTTAAGAACAATTGGTTCTTGGGATGTGGCTCTGTTCTACACTTGTTCTCTGGAAGAGATCACTAAAGACATGGACACTGTAGAAAAGTGTGGTGAAGAAATCAGAAAGAAATATGTCTGGGGTCATAAATATTTGTGTTAAAACAAGCAGTCATTTAAGTGAGGTGGCAATTAAGTGCACACAGAAAAAAACAAAACCACACCAGTGTGTGTGATCCAAGAATTGTAAACCATAAAATCCAAGACCCAAGACTGGAACTGTATTAAATCTTAAATTCTGAGCACTTAACAGGAGCCGACAACCTCTCCTCAGGAGCACACTGGTAACCAAGACCTAGTGGTTAGCAGCCCAGTGACCAGCCCATCACACCACCAGTGTTCCTCGAGTTATCAAGATATTAAAAACAACACCAGAAGGTTCATGGATGGTATGGCCTTTGGGGTAGCCCTGTTCTTAAGTCCCACTCTATAAAGACGAGCCATCTGCTTCTGAAAGGTTACAGACTTGAAAGCCCATGGAGCAAGGCTACCCTGCCCACGTGGGGCTGCCACGAGCGAGCATCAGCTCAAGACAACTAACAACCACAACAAAAGGTGAAACCACTCATGTTGAAATGGCTAGGTCATCTCATGAACGGGAAATTACATTTACATTCTCCGTTTGCTTCTCTTCCGCAGGAGGTGACCAAAGCAGTACAGCCACTCCTACTGGGAAGAATTATAGCTTCCTATGATCCAGATAACCAGGCAGAACGCTCCATTGCCTTGTACCTGGCCGCAGGCTTGTGCCTTCTCTTCATTGTGAGGACACTGCTCCTGCACCCAGCCATTTTTGGCCTCCATCATATTGGAATGCAGATGAGAATAGCTATGTTTAGTTTGATTTATAAGAAGGTAATGATGCTTCCTTGTCTTCAATGTTACATGTTTTAAATACCACGAATAAAGCGACGAGGCTGGTCTAAGGAAAGACTAAGTGCTGAAATGGATTTGGTAACGGATGCTGGAAGGACTAATTAGTATTTCCAATTTTCCTTGATAAACAAATTCACTTTAATAATTATTGAGCACTTCCTATAAATGCCTTAAATTATAGATTTCATTTTTGTCTTAATGCTATGTTATTATATTTTGATATCCATCATCCCCCTTTGGAATGACTTTCAGAGTCTTCGTAAAAGTAAAGGACAAAATCCTATCTTACAGCAAAATGCTATGTTCAGTGGCAGAAAGGTTATGTGTAAATCTTCGTGACAACCCAAGCAATGAGAGTTCTCACCTGTTGACTTGGACCGTGACACGGTGGTAATGTCGAGTGCCTTATTTGGGGTTAGATTTTTGGCATTCCGTTGCATAGATATTGCAGCTACACCTACGCCTCATTTTGTATATGTTGTCCAAACAAAAAAGGCCCAAGTGACCAAAGTCTGAGTTAGGGAATTCGGCCTAAGACTTAGTTACCTTACAACTAGGATGGATGTGAAACCATTTCAATGGTGCCTGCTTCCACCAACCTGATTCAGTTCTATATGTGATTGCTCGGGTCTTTTAAAGTCACTGTACAGAGCTGTGTTTTATAGAATCATTTGGATTATATTTGATGCTTATTTTTAATTCCCCCAATGTAAAAACTTCATATCTACAGTTGAAAAGGACAGCGAATCTAAAATTCACCTCTAGCAAATAACGCAGAGAACTTCTATAAAGTACATGCAAGGTCAATTGTGCTGTAAAACCCTGATAGCCTTATTACATTTTTTTAACTGTTTATGGAGGCTGCTTAGAAATTGGAGTCATATCAACTTGGCTGCAGTTTTATAGATAGAAGTCAGGAAAACATGAGTAGGGAATAAACAAAAATTTGCATTCTATCCTGAAATTTAAAAAATGTATGAAACTATTAGACCTCATTTGGAATACTATTTTTAAAAGTGCACATTGTAAGAATAACACTCATAATATGACAGTATATGTCCAAGTGACTCAGGTTTATTGTCTCACTTGATCCTTCACCGAACGCCATCATGATGCAAGTTGCTATTCCTATTAAGGAGTCCTGGTGGTATCGCAGTTATGAACTCAGCTGCCAACCAGTCTGAAATCACTTCTTAGGAGAAACATGGGGCTTTCTACTCCTGTAAAGAGTTACAGTCTGAGAAACTCACAGGGGCAGTTCTACTCTGCCCTGTCAGCCCACTATGAGTCAGCATGGGATGGCTGTGTGTTTGGTTTGGAGTTTTGTTAAAAAAAAAAATACTGAACAGTAGTAAGGCCGATTTTTAACACAGGGAGAGAAAGTATGAAGCAGAGGAGAACAAAGAGCAGGTTAGTTTGTACATAAATCCATAGGTAACAGTACAAATATAGCAATATCTGTACTTTAAGACCCAGAAAGTACTAACTTTTCATGGAAAAGTTAGGCACTATTGTTTCTGCCCTTTATTCTGAACTTTGAGTATTTTTCTTACTTATTTTGTTTCCTTCTCTACCGAAGAATTCCAGGGGCATCTCCACATGACACGGCTTGATTCTCTACATTGGGGCTTTCTTGGCTCTTCTGCAATCTTACTCTTCTTCATATCTGACCAGCTTCATTATCATGATAAGCAGTCTCTGACCCTTCCAATGATATTCACAGATTTTTAATAGAGCACCTTTTAAATTCCCCCCATTCTGAAAAAGTATGATTGATTCAAGGTACACTTTAAATAGTGAAGCTACATAGTAGCCAAATGGAGCTGGAGCTGTGACTCTCAGCAGCACGGAGATCACTGAAACCAGCATAGAATTGCGGAGTGGTCGCTGTGCACACAGCTCTCTATGAAGCCCCGTGGAGACTCAGCCACCCAGAGCCCATGCTACTAAAGCACCTCAATTCAGCTCCTTGGATCTCCCCCCACTGACCCTGACCTCAAATTGCTTGGATAATATTTTGAGATGAACTGCTTTGCTCCTTTTGTTTTTGCATATCTAAACTCAGTTCGTTATTCCAGACCCATTCTCAAATTCTACCTCTTCAGGGAAATCTTCTCAGATATTCTAACCAGATGACTTACCTTTCTATTTTCATCCATATAATTATTTTGGTCCTAGGTCCTCATATCATATTGTAATTTTTTATGTCCTAGGCTACCTGAAGTCAAGAATTATGTCTTCATAAATATTAATAACAATTCCCAAAGCTGTAGGCACAGTGTTGTACTAAGGACATAGGGGAGGGATTGACTTTAAACAAATATTAAATGGATACTTTCCATTTAAAGTCATCTAGTGGCAAATCAATTCTTATTAAATTATATAGTCCAAGGTTATCAATGTGATCTTTCATAATCATGGTTAAAATGTTGATTTAGCAATTAATTATATTTTGTACAATCAGTTATTGTTTTCCTTATAAAACTTAAAGATTTTGTTTCACTAATATAAATTTTCACAAATTTTTAATGAGTCGATTAATCATAATATTTTTACAAAAATAATTTTATTCAATAGAGTTTGTATAGGACTGTAGGAAAACTTTAAGGCAAGTGTTTTAATTTAAGGAGCCTTAATGGCTTAGTGGGGTATGTTTTGGGCTGCTAATCACAGGGTCAGCAGTTCAAAACCACCAGCCACTCTGTTGGAGAAAGATGAGGCTTTCTACTCCTGTGATGAGTTACACTCTCAGAAACCCACAGGGACAGTTCTACTGTGTCCTATAAAGTCACTATGAACCAGAGTCGACCTGATAGGTCGACTGAGTTTTAATTTCGTATTTCTTTTGTTCTGTCACTCATTTGAAGAACAAAAACGTCAACTACATAAATATGTACGTACAATATTGTTACTCTTGAAAAGGAGAGAAAATGTTTATGACTTTCTAGAAGTTGGAAAATAAAACAGGCGTGAGGCATGCTTTAACGAAGAATATTTAGTAATCTGAGAAGCTATTCCTTAAGATAACATAGAATAATTTTCATTACCTTTATTTAAAAATACATGCATAGTAACCTAAGTCCTTGGCTGTATTGCAATGTTACTTAAAATACATTTGTCTTGTTGACACTCTCTAACTGCCCATTTTTTCTTTTAGACTTTAAAACTTTCGAGCCGGGTTCTAGATAAAATAAGTATTGGACAACTTGTTAGTCTCCTTTCCAACAACCTGAACAAATTTGATGAAGTATGTATCTACCAATTTAATCTTTTACTCATTACTTTCATTAATCATAAATCCATATGGGCTCTTCTTGATCAATTAACAGCTGGAGATGTTTAAGCTATATACATCTCTACCTTCCGTTTCTGAACATGGAAAAAGCCAGATTGTCTAGCAGAGCGGTGTGTTAGTTTGGGTAGACTAGAGAAACAAATTCATAGACAAACATGTGTATAAGAAAGACGCTTATATACAAGAGCAGTTGAATATTGAGGAAATATCCCAACCCAGTCCAGGTCAAGTCTATAAGTCTGATATTAGTACATATGTTCAATATCAATCTGTAAAGTCCTCTTCAGACTCACAAAACACATGCAATGACGCCAAATGCAGATGATCACAGACCAGTGGGTGGATTGTCTATGGGTCCCACGACAGTGGAAGCATCTCAGCACTGGTGTGGATCTCCATGCGGCTCTTCCAGGTCCAAGGCTCTCGCTTCCATTAGCATAGAATCATGTGTCTTGTCAGTAGAGAGTCTCTCATGGAGTGAGCAGAGAGAGAGAAAGAGTCTCTCCGCCCACAAGGAGGTACACACACACACACACACACACACAGTGATCGAAATCTACGGAGAAAGAGAGAGATTGAGAGAGGGCCATCCACTGCCTTTGAGTGGACTCTGACTAATACCAATATTATTGGACAAAGTAGAACCACCACAGGGTTTCCTAAGTTGTTAATCTAGAAGGACAAATGTAACCACCTGTTTATTGAGGCGCTGATTTATTTAATATTTATTTTCTGTGACCACGTGCATCGCAACAACTGTGAACTTGGGATGCAGCTGTGGGTAATGAGGCCAGAGTCCTCCATCGGAACTAGAGTCTAGCCAGCACCTTGTTTCCCGTAGTCTAAACTCTGTTGGAAAAACTCGCTCCGCTCTGGCTGCGCTTTCGTATGTGTTTGTTGCCGTTGTGGGACGGAGGCTCACACACCACTGGCTTCCGCTGTGGTTCTCTTTTCCAGGGACTGGCACTGGCCCATTTCGTGTGGATCGCCCCCTTACAGGTGACGCTCTTGATGGGGCTGCTCTGGGAGCTGCTCCAGGCCTCGGCCTTCTGCGGACTTGCCTTCCTGGTGGTCCTGGCCCTTTTCCAAGCCGGCCTCGGGAGGATGATGATGAAGTACAGGTAACAACTTACTCTCCAAGCTGGAAAGTATTGTCCACCAGCTTTTCCAAAAGCCCACAGCGTGAAACCAGAACTGTATGCGCCGAGCCATACTTTACTGGGTAGCGCCAAAACATAATTGTAACGGTGTCCATAACAGCTCCTCTCTGAATGCGGTCAGCCGTTTGCAAGCACCAGAGGCCCCTCAGGAGGAAGAAGAGGCATTTTACTCCCTTAAAGATTTCACAGTCTCAGAAACGCACAGGGGCACTTCTGCTCTGTACTATAGGTTCACTATGGGTCAGCATCGACCCGATGGCAGTGAGTTTATGTCAATGAGGAGGCTCCCTGGTGGGGCGCTGGTTAAGCACTGTTCACCGAAAGGTCCGTGGTTTGAACTCACCAGTTGCTCTGTGGGAGGAAGATGTGCTTCTGAAGAGACCACAGCCCTGGAAATGTTCGTACTCGGCTTCCTAGGTGTCCTAGGTCATCGGACTTTTTCCTTTTGATGATGAGAGAAGCGGCGATCCTAGTCACTGCTGACGGGGGAGACTTCTAGCGTCTGATCGCTCGAGGGTGACCCGAGTGTGCGGACTTCACGGCTGCATAGCTTCCTACTATGTGACTTCAGTACAGTGACTTTGCCACCCCGAATCTCTAGTTGTTGTTTCCTTTTGTTACCTTTGAAACTGAGGTAGCACGTGCCACTCATGATCTGTCGTGAAGATTAGAGATAGGGCATGGAGATAGGGCATGGACTTAGTCTAATACAGTGCTGGGTATAGAGGAGGTGTTTGCTAAGTGACAGCTTTTATTTTTGCTACCACTTATTTGATCACTAAATGCCGACTCCTATATCTTATTGTAAAACATGATTTTTTTTTTCTAAGAGGGGGAACCGTTTCTTAGGGAATCCGTCGACTTGCCTTTGCTAAATTTTAGATTCCTTCATTCACCATTCATTCATTGCCAGGGATAAGAGAGCTGGGAAGATCAATGAGAGACTTGTGATCACTTCTGAAATGATTGAAAATATCCAATCTGTGAAGGCATACTGCTGGGAGGAAGCAATGGAAAAAATGATTGAAAACCTAAAACAGTAAGTCAGTTTACTAATTTCAGTATCTATTGAAATGTCTTTTAAAAATGGTGATGTCATACTGGATATCTGACTCTCATATAGGGTTTCCTGAGAATAGTTAAAACCTTAAGTGGTCATATTGGGAAGGTAAGTATCATATAATGCCACAGTATTAGAACAAACTGTTCTTGTACTGAGGTAAGATTTAGAGGTCCAAAGTCCATTTGCTTCCTTGTTGTATTTGTGTGTGTGTGTGTATATATATATATATATATATATATATATATATACACACACACACAGAGACATACACTTTTTAATATATTTACATGTATGCATATCTATATTTATACCTATATATAATTTTTATTTTCTTATTTCCTCTTTTTCTTTTCTCCTGCCCCACTATCATATTTACCCATCATTCACCTCTCAGTAATTCCTCTCGGATATGTTTCAATTGATCAAACACAACCAGGAACTACATCCTCCTCACCGTCAATTTGAGAACCCTTGCTACTCCCTGTCCCTGTCATTACTGACTCACCACTCCCCTTCCCCTGCCTTCCCTCCCTCCCCATGCCTCCCAAACCATCAGTCCCTTACCTGTCTCCTTGGATCGCTTATCCTGCCTCTCTTATATAGGTAGACACCAACAGAAAAACAATGACAGAAGAAAGACCATCCAAATAGTTTCAAGTCTAACTGTTGCCCTGACCCAGAGTAGATGAGTATCTCTTTTTGTTAAATAGAGAAAACGACATCAGTCCAGTCCCCATATCTTCAGGGTTCCATAGCCTGGGACCCGCTTACGTAACAACACTTAGGCCCTTATAGTCCTCAGCATTTGTGACCCAAAGGCGCCCCTCCTGCAAGTCCCCATTGCTCTTCCTGCAGTCAGGAATGGAGCGGAAGGGATGCCATATCCAGGGTGCAGTATAACACTGATGAAATACTCACTTATCCTTTAGTTCTTTAATATTTCCTCCCCTCATCATTATGGTCTTTGCTTGACCTCATTAATCTTGTTAGACTTCTGTATGTTCATTTGTATAATTTAAGATTGGGTGATGCATGAAATCCAAAATAGACAACCCTTCAGAAACAGAAATGAGAGTAATGGTTCCCTGTGGGTACTGGACTAGAGGGAGGGGAGGAGGGAAAACGGGGAACTGATAGCAGTGATGACTGTATAACCCCATGTGAGGGGAACAAATAACAGAACTGTAGGTGAATGAATACATTGGATGGTGAAGATATGGCGAATAATAATAATAATAATAATAATAGTTCCCAGAAGGGGACGTGGAGGAGGGAGGGAATAAAGGAGAGCTGTCATCAAAAAGTTCAAGAAGAAAGAAAATGTTTTGAAATTGATGGTTTTAGCAGGGGTACAATTATGCTTGATCTAAATGAATTATGGCTTGTTATAACATCTGCAACAGCTCCCAATCAAATGAGAAAAAAGAAACCTTAAACAAACCAACCAGAATTGAGTCGTGTATGACTCTGAACCAAAGAAAAGACTCTCTATGACAGCATTTCACTTATGTTATCAGCTTGACAGATTAAAGCCACCACCACCTCCATTTGATTAAAAGGTGTTTACTCTTTCTTAAGTTAAGAATAATCCATAAACTCTGCTCTTAGAAATCCTTCACTTAAAGCTCTGTGGATTCAAGTCATCAAAGCCACTTTATAAAATAGAATCAGCGTTTGGCACCTGGCTCTAGTCCGGTTTCACCGCAGATAACTTTTTGCTTTCACTGATTAGTACAGCTCACATTCAGTCAAAAAAAAATTTTTTAAGTACAGTACAGTACAGATTGAGATGTGGTTTTGAAACTAATGTTGGGTTGAATTTAAGGCAGGGCATTTCCGTGGCCATGAGACCACATTTTTCTGTAGTTAAACTCAATGTTTTACACGCAATAGTCAGACAAAATTCTAGGAGACGTAGAGCGGGTAGACATACTGTTTTGAAGATGTCTGTTTGTGAAAGGGACAAATTACTTCAGTAGACGTGGTCCATGAGACAGAAAAAAACACACAAAGGAAGAGTCCCTCTTAGGATGATGTGACTGTGGGCTGCCAGGCACTCAGGGTTCTCGTTCCAGTAGACAAGGCACCTGTGCTGCAGGTGTGCGATGGGAACAACAAAGGCAATGCTGAAATGTTAAGTCCTTTGCCATGTAAACAGAAAGCGTAAAAGAGTATTTATTTCCCCAACACACTTACTGGTCATCTGTTTTTGTTATGCCTTCCATGGCTAATCCAGGAAAGGAATGGCATTTTCTTTCCAGAAACATCCATAAAGCTCTTGGGGAAATGTGTAGTTGGAGACATTGTTGTTGCCGTTAACAGTGAGTGTCCAGTCTCAGGTGTCTCCTGGGCCACTCTTCTCCCTACGGACAAAGAGCCCCAGAGAATAGCAGACAATCCATGGTTTTCAGGCCTTGCAAGAAATCATTCTTGGAGCGGACTTGTCTTGAACTGAGGCTGTCTCTCTCTCTTTCTCAAAGCAGGAAACCCATTCTTTCTGCTGTGCATTTCTGTATGGCCAATTCTCGTAGCAAATGTTTAGCTGTGCCTTGTATAATCTACTTTCTTAATCTGGCATGAAATTGTTACCAGAAGAGGCTGAAAAGTGCTGATGTAAATATGGGAAAGTAGGAATTGAGTCTACTCAAGAGAACAAATATAATGTTCTCAGAGAGATTGGCGGGGTGAACTTCAAAGGCATGATTTCCTTGGCCTGGGCCACTGCTGCATGGGGACAAAAGGCTGTACAAAACTCCGTGCATCCCTCCTTTTTTATTGCCCTTTGGTAATAAAATCACTGGAGAAACTTTATTTATTTTTTTTATGACTCCTAAAGTGTTGGTGACTTTATTGTGGGGCCAACTGTGTTCTGGGTGATTCCTAGACATGGTCTCGCTCTCTCCCCAGGTGTCACCATTAGGTTGTCCTTTTCATGTCTTGTCGTACAACTTCTATTTTTGTGTGTGGCTATTTTAAAATAAATTTCACATCCAGGACAATCTTGATAACATTTCTGATCCATTTGGTAACAGTTTTGTAAAGCAGTTGGAAACCGTTTTCTAGCATTTTAGGACTACCAACTGAATCAACACCATTCCTTTTCTTCTCCCATGGAGGGGAAAGGAAGTAGGTTGTCCATTAAGAGCTGGACCCTCTGCTGTGCTGTCCCTTCATCTTGACCGCCACTCTTCAAGGAGGGGCCAAGTCCTCTGTAGACGCTGACTCCCTAACAGCAGGGGAAGAACAAGTTGCTGAAGATGGCGTTGCCAGCAACTGACAGACCTTGGATGCACCCCCAGCTTGGATTCCGAAATCCTCATTTCCCTCTGGTAGCACATCATTGAGGGAGGCGTATGTGAGTCTGTGAGTCACCAGCTCAGGATTACCTTTCTTTTCCTTTAGACTCTAGACAGGGAAGACAACAAGGTTTCCTCTGAGATTTGCACTTGAGTAGGAGCATTGCTTTCTGAAGTATACAGGCATTGCCTGGCAGCCCCTGCACGAGGCCCAGGCATAGCTATTGCCCCCTCCCACCCAAGTCCTCTGTCTGAACACAAGGACTGCGTGGGCAGCATCCCACTCCCACATCCAACTTTCATGGCTTCTGGAAGAGTGAAGGTGCAAGGCAACACTGCCTTCTGTTTGTTCCATCCTCTTTGCACTTCTTGTTGGACCATTTAAACCTTTTTTGGCTGCTAATAGAAAGGTCAGCAGTTCAAACCCACCAAGTAGCTCTGAGAGGGGAAAAAACCTGATGAGCTGCTTCCACAAAGATTACAGTCTATGGAATCCAATGGGGGCAGCTCTGTTCTGTCATGTGGGGTTTCACAAAGATCGTAGAAAAACTCCCTTGTATTTCAATTCTGTTGCTCCACGAACTTTCTGAAGCCCCCTCAGATGACTCGAAAATCGAATTGATGCCACCTAACAATAACAACATGCATGTTTAAAAAAAGGAAGGGAAATATTTATATTTGCAGTTTACACTAGATGGTTGAAAATAGAATATAATATTGTTGTTGTTTAGGCCACGGAATCAGTTGTGACTCATAAGGACCCTAGACACAGTAGACTGAAACCCTGCCTGGTCCTGCACCATATGCACAATTGTTCTTGGGTTTGAGTTCATTGTTGAAGCCACTGTGTTAATCCCTCTTGTCTAGGACCTTCCTCTTTTTTTCCTGCCCCCCACTTTCCCAAGCGTGATGTCCTCCTCCAGGGACTGGTCAGTCCTGACAACATGTCCGAAGTCTGTAAGACAAAGTCTTGCCATCTTCCCTCGAAGGAACACTCTGGCTATACTCGTTCCCAGACACATTTGCCTTTTTAGCAGTACGCGGTGCTTTCAGTATTCTTCTCCAGCACCTTGATTCATATGTGTCCGTTCTTCTTCAGCCTTCCGTACTCAGTGCCCAGCGTTCGCATGCATAGGCAGCAAAGGAAAATGCCATGGCTTGGGTCAGGTGCACCGTAATCCTTAAAGTAATATCCTTGCTTTTCAATACTCTAAGCAGGAATCATGCAACAGATGTGTAAATGTAAATGATTGAAACAGCTGTATGGCAATGAGAGCAAGAGGGCACAGTATCTATGGTCCTGACTCTTCTGGAATCACCTGCTAAAGATGTACATGAGTTCATACAAACACAGCTTCTGGAACTCCCAGCAGACTCACAGTCAGTATCTCTGGGAGATGGATCTGAGGTGCTGCCGTTTTAGCACCTTTCTCAGGTGATTGCTACCTGTGCTAAGGTTTGAGGTCTTTAGCTGGTGCAGAAAGTTTGCTCTTGGCTTCTGTCATGAAGATGTTAGGTTTTAACTTACCCTGTGGCCCTGCGGAATACAGCCTGGAACTCTGCGTCGGTAAAGGTTGCAGCCAAGAAGACTCCACGAGTAGATTTATGAACAACAGGTGGAGTCACCTGTTGGAATCACAGGTGGAATCTACCTGAGTAGATTCAACAACAGCAGATTATGGTGATAAGCACTCACCCACGGTTTATAAAACAGGAGCCCTGGTGGCACAGTGGGTTAGAGTTGGACTCTTAACTGAAAGGTCAGAAGTTCGAAACCATCAGTCTCTCCGAGGGAGGAAGATGAGGCTTTCTACTTCGGTTAAGATTTACTGTCATGAAAACTCCCAGGGGGCAGTTCTACTCTGTTCTGAAGGGTTGTGAAGAGTTGGGATTGACTGGATGACAATGAGGGTTTTTTGTTTTTGTTTCATGGTTCATACGTTACTTTCAGTGTTCCTCAAAGTTGAACTAGAGTTTCTAAAGTCTGAGGAATCCTTTAGATTAACCACCAAATATCCCCTTTCTCTCCTTGGTCAGTTTTGCAGCCTGCACTTCATTTTCTCATTTAATTCAAGCATCAACCCACCTACATAAATGATTAGTCTACCACAAATCTTAAAAATCAACATCACAGTACTTAAGTGTATAATAATAATAAGAAATATATAATGCTAACGATAACTGGAATATTCATAAGAATTTAAACATACAATTTGAAGATATAGGTCCACGAGACTAGTGGACCCATGTTTATTTCCCTGTCAAATAAGCTGGGACCTAGAGGGGTTTAGCTACTCCTCCCAAGTGGCACAGCGCATGTAGGAGCCAGGTTTAGAATGAAGGCAGACTGGCTCTGCAGCCCATATTCACATTCCACATTCCAAGCTGCTTGATCATTGAATAGTGCCAGAGCATCCAACCTGATCTGCTTGTCTTTCCATAGAACAGAGCTGAAACTGACCCGGAAGGCAGCCTATGTGAGATACTTCAACAGCTCAGCCTTCTTCTTCTCAGGGTTCTTCGTGGTGTTTCTGTCTGTGCTACCTTACGCACTGCTCAAGGGAATCATCCTTCGAAAAATATTCACCACTATTTCATTCTGCATCGTTCTGCGCATGTCTGTCACTCGGCAGTTCCCCTGGGCTGTGCAAACCTGGTATGACTCATTTGCAGCAATAAATAAAATACAGGTAAGGGAGCGTCAAGGTGCATGGTGCCCTAAGGTTTAACAACAGCAGAGGTAGCTTTAGTGGGCGAGCTCTCGAGAGATGGATCTGGGTCCCAGACCTGCTTCAGAAAACACAGGACTTCCTCCCGGGATAGATATCCAGCTGTGGTGGAGGGAGAAGAGCAGAATGGATGCTCCTTGAGGCAATGGAAGAACATAGTGTCATTGCACGACAGAGAATTCTCTCCAAGAACTGTTCCTTCAGAGAGACTTTCCCTTCAGCTCACCCGGTCCCTCTCCTCAATTAGCTGACCTCTTTGGCTCCTGAAAATATGGGAGATTCAGATCTGTGATTTGGACAAATTGGTAAATGTAGCTCAGAGCCATAATAACTCTTATGTCCTCTGTGAACCCTCTCCCAGCTCTGTGGGGAAGAAGGAGAGAGAGAGGTGGGCAACAGGAAGCAGACTGGAGATAGAGCATCCCCAAGACCACGGAGTCACTGAACAGGAACAGAGAGACAGAGAAGCAGATCTCAAACTCATGTTTGAGAGAAACCAAAATCAAGAGGGAGAGTGAGGAGCAGAGAAGGGAAGCCGTGAGGCAGGGGCTAGGTCGTTTCTATGACTTGTACAGTTAAGACTTCAGTGAGCATGGACTTGGTTCCTTCGTCTGTTTCCACTTCCCTTAGCAAAATATACCTGAGAGTCAGGAATTCTGATAGTGCTCTTCCCTTTACAATCATGGTTTGATGACTTTTCAACCAGTTAAATCCGATGTTTAGACACTGATTTAAACCCAGAGAGTGCATGCCAGCAGGGTCCATCGAGAGGCACTGTAGAAATGAAGACATTAGCTTTCTCTCTGTCCTAATGTTCAATTGTGACCTATTAATGGATGCTTCAAGGATGCTTTTCAGAGTTACCATTAAAGTTAAGACATTATCATGTTAGGAAGACTGGATTTAATTTTAAAATCTAATGTGTGGAAACAGCTTTGTAAGGCTTCACATGTTTAAAGAATGTTTTCATATATGATGCCTTGTAATCCTTGGTAAATTGTTTTAAAAACATCGTTATAAAATCAAGATACAATATTTCAATTTAATTCACAAAATCCAATGAAGCATGATTAGATCATAAGCAGATGTAACAATGCAATAACATTATTTCACAATGTGGTTTTCTCTCTTTTATAAATAGGATTTTTTACAAAAGCAAGAGTATCAGACCTTGGAATACAACTTGACTACAACAGATGTTGTGATGGAAAACGTAACAGCCTTCTGGGAAGAGGTCAGACTTCGTCTAAGTGGTTTGCTCTAGATATGGAAACGTTTTGTTCTGGGCGAATCTGGCATTCATAGTAAAGGACAGAGTGCTGGTCTGGGTAGACTTGAGAAACAAATCCATGCACACACATATGTGTATAAGAAAGAGATTTATATACAAGAGCAATTGAACATTGAGAAAGCATCCCAGCCCAGTCCAGATCAAGTCCATAAGTCTGCTATTAGCCCATATGTCTGATACCATTCTATAAAGTCCTCTTCAGACTCATGAAACATGCAATGACGCCGAATGTAGAAGATCACAGGCCAGTGGGTAGACAGTCTTTGGATCCAGTGTCATTGGAAACATCTCAGCACTGGCAGGGGTCTCTCTGTGACTTCTCCAGCTTCCAAGGTCTGTTTGCATCCATGTGGCTTGTCTTCTGCAGTGTCTCCCAGGAAGTAGCAGAGAGAGAGATGTCTCCCGGCTCCAAGAAGATTTCCCAGAATTCTCAGGAGAAGGCCATGTCCACAGAAGTCTCATTGGCTATCTCCAGATTGACATCCTAGACTCCACCCCTACCCTCTTAATCCTTAAATTGACATCAGGTGACTACCACAGACAGTAAATGTAGGGTTATGGCACATCTGGGAGAATTGCAGAGGGAACTACTTATTTTATAGACTGTGAAGTGGATGCCCAGGCAAGGGATATTCAGTACAGAATAGAAGTCTCTTAGTTTTTATTTTAAGGCTTATCCTGAGTGTCACATAGTCTAGAAAAAACAATACATCAAATACAGATTTGGAGTCAGATAGATCTGGGTTTGAATCTTAGCTCTGCTTTTTAGTCTCAATGTAAATACATCCTATGACTTACCTTTGTGGAGTCTCTGGGCCCCATCTATACGGTAAGTGATATTAATATGCACTGCAAATGTACTGTGAGAATTCAGTAGGATAATTTATGTAAAGTGTTCCACAAAGCCACATGTGCTTAAATAGCCATCCAATAAATGCCATCTTCCCTGATCCCAAGTTTCAGATCAATGTGCAGTGCTCAATACAAAGATGTCAGAGAGATATACCCATATGTTGTTTTCTCCTCATTTTATGCATTTTCATTCACAGTTAAATATGTTCTCGTGTTCCTTAACATCAGAGGGTAAATATTGCCAACAGTTCTTAGCCGCTAAGGAAAGCAACACTTGGGCATTGAGAACACCTGTAAAATACCTATTCCCCTATCACTTAGGCTTAGAGGAATGTCGAAGCCAATGCCATCTTGCTATAGCTTCCACATTCTCTTAGACTGGGTTCATTTCTATAAGTAACTTGACCCCTGAGATTTCATAATATGTTACTAATTATGTTGGTAAGAGAATAACTCTCTATTTACCTACCAAAATTATTTTGTAGGCAAGTGTGCAGATCAGATTTATTTTCTTATTTGTAGGCATTTCAAACACCCTTCCAGTCATGAAGGGACATGACGTTAGACCATTTCATTCCTCCTTTCACACAGCTGTTTTCCAAACCTGGTACAGACATCCACCGTTTCTCTGCCACGCCATCTCCATACGGGCTTGAAGCCATGACAGCACGACAGACAGGAGGATGAACGCTTGCCTTGATTTAGGTCTCTCAGCATACCTTGGGAACAGTAATACTTCTATTTGACCAATAAGGAACAGAGGCTTGTAAAAGTTAAGGGACTTGGTGCGAGCCACAGAGTTGGCAAGGGTTGAAACTGGACTTTGACCCAAATATCACGTTCTAGAGACAGCTCATTGACCGTGGCCATGCTCCTCTCCTCCAGCCTTTCTGAGGAGATGTCACTTGTTAAGCCTCTCGGTGCTCCTGGAGGCGCTTCGTCTGAATAACGGTGCCCGTGAAGCTTCTGCCACGCTGACTGAGCCCTCATCATCTGCACGGACAACCCTCCCAGCATTTCCCTTAGAACGGACTTTTTCAAGTGGCTTCTTCTGAAGCATTCCTTTCCTCGTACTATCCTGAGCTCTGTGGGCACTTAGACTTAAACCTCACGCTTGGAAGTCTCTGTCCATGGCCCCCATGCCCTAGCTCTCTCAGTCTCACCATCCTACCTCCATGGTTTGTTGTGTGCTACTGGGTCAATTCCAACTCATCATGCCCTTATTTCAAAAACAAAACAAAACACCTCACTGCCATCGAGTTGATGTGAACTCATAGTGACCCTATAGGACAGGGTGGAACTCCCCTCTCCGTTTCTGAGACTATAACTCTTTACAGGTGTAGGAAACCCTATCTTTCCCCTGAGGGGGGCCTGGTGGTTTCGAACTGCTGACCTTGTAGTTAGCAGCCCAGCGTGTAACCACTGCACCGTCAGGGCTCCATAGGACAGAGTAAAACTGCCTCCCAGGGCTTCTTCAATCTTTTCCCCGAGGGAGAGTGAATGGCCGAGCTTTGAGTTAGCAGTCAAGTGCTTAATCATGGTGCCCTTCTCCCACCTTGACTGACTTTCAGCTTCATCAAGATTTCGAAGGTCTTGACTTGGATGTCCTGCTGGACACCTCTTGGCTTATTCTCTTCTTAATCCCAGACCAATCATGGGGCACTTCTCTCAGCAGCACACTCCGTTTCTTTTCCTTCTCTGTAGAGCACACACGTGATCAGTTCTGGCAAGGGAGGTGCTGCAGGGGAAGAGCATCCTCTCCAGTCACTTGCCAGTTTCATACGTTTATTGTTTCAGTCTTAATTGGGCTGCTTAACTTTCTTAGAAATTTGTTCATTTGTCCTTAATTCCCTTTACCACGCCCTTCCAAATCATTCCTCCTTCCTTCACCAGTCGCTCCTGGTGACTGCGCACTGACAGCAGACGGCCTTCTTGTTGACCATGAGGCCCATCCTTCTCCCTGGATGCTTCCTTTCTTTTAGTTGGACTGAACTATGTTTCAGCTTCATTTTAGTGAACCACTCTTTCTAAATCGTTTAATCCTCAGACCGTGGCTTCTTAAATCTGCCTTGACTGCCACTGCGGTGGCCATGGGACTCTGGGTCTCCAGCTCCGTCTCCTTATAGCATTTCATGATCTCTGAGGGTGACCTCATGCAGATGCAGCTGCTGCCGATGCACTGATGACTCTCAAACCCAAATCTGTCACCAGATTTCTTTCCTGGGCTTGACACATGTATTTTCCTGTACATGTCCTTTGTGCATGCCATATTCCTTACTCCATCTTCCAGTATCTTCTTTCTCCTGTTGGATGACATTGCTATCTACCTGATTGCCGAAGAGACAGGACCCTGATAAGTATTACATATGACTCCCTCACTCTAAACCTGAATACGTAAACTCGTTTCTCTTTACGTGTTAGGAAGCTGACTCCTGTCTCAAGCCGATGCTGGAAGCATGTAACATCATTTCCATTTACGCATTAGGAAGCTGAGGTTTAGAGAGTTCAAGTAACTAGAACAAGTTTACATAACTTGTTTGGGCAGAGTTAAAAATCATCCTAGGTTTCTCAGACTCCCAATCCTTCTCTCCTGATTGTGAGAGTGGAGACGGGGAAGGAGGAATGACAGACAGCAGGCGGGTTCTTAGGCTGATTGATTTTAGAAAAGAGAACATCTGGATGCAGAGGGCCTGGGAATAGATTCCCTTAATTATATGCTAGAGATCCTCCTGGATGATGCTTTGTGCCACAGGGGCTGCTGGCTTAGCTGGCAGACCACTAGGAACCCTGGTGGCACTGCCAGGTGGGCCACGGACTGCTAACTGCAAGTCTGCTGGTTCCAACCTATTAGCTGCCACACAGGATAAAGAGGAGGTTGTCCGGTCCTATAAAGATTTACAAAGCCTGTGAAACTCTATATTGGGTGGCTGGCTATGAGTTGGAATCAATTCAATGGCAGTAGATTTGGCTCTCCCTCCCCCCAATAATCCCATGGCTTTCCAGGATGTTAGCAATCAAACCAACCAACCAACCACACTCTCTGCCATTGATCAAGGTGGTTCTGACTCATAGAGACCCTATCGGGAAGGCTAGAACGGCCCCTGTGGGTTTCCTATACTATAACTTCGTATGGGAGCAGAAAGCTTCACCTCGCTTCTGAAGAGTAGCAAGGGGTTTTGACTTGCTGACCTTGACATTAGGAACGCAGCTCCTACCCACTGGACCACCAGGATTCTTCTAGTGTTAACCACGAGGCTGGCAATTTTCAAAATTTTCACATTCCTTCTCCCCAGCTACTCTTACTAGTAGCTGGAACTCATTTTTTATAAAACGGAATTGCTGTGATCGTAAGGGAAACCGACTGCCAGGCCTTTCCCCCCATGATATCACTGGGTAGGTTTGAACCCCAGCCTTTAAGTTAGCAGTTAAGCACAAACTGCTTACACCATTCAGGGATTTAGTGGAATTCATTTGAACTCAGGCAATTTCATTCCATTTTTACTCAACACAAAGCACTCACAGAGAAGAGTGCAGCTTCTGGGAGGATGCTCTTACTGCTGTGTCAGCGTAGAAGTCAGATGTGGGTGGCAATCCCACCTGTCAGTTATGGGACTTTAGTCATTTGGTCTGTCTGAGTCACAGCTGACAGCTGTGAACGATGGGATTATCGTTTCTACCTTATATGTATTTTTATGTGAATATCTTATTGTGATTTAAGTGGACGCTTACAGAAAGTTTCCCACTCAACATTTGATGTAAGCTCTGCTCAGGCCATTAGTTGCAGCTGCCCGTTTCTATTCACCTGTCTCCTTCTGCCTTCTGAACTTCGTGTTTAGGTTGGTTTTGTTCATCTGTAGTTGGTTGCTCTGAGGTGAACCTTCCCCCCTGGTGGGGTTTGTTCTCCTTGAAGGTGTGTTTGCTGTCTGGCTGCACGGGGGTGGCTTTGCTTTCAGATTTGAAGGGTGTCTAAGCGCCATAGTCTTGGGTTCCACCAGTCTCTATCAGACCAATAACTCTGATCTTTTTTGTGGTTTTGAATTTTCTTCTACATTTCCCCACTCTGTCCAAGACCTTCCATTGTAACCCTACTGATTAGGATTAGAGGTGAAGTCATCTGCTTCATACATTATTGAGAATTAACTAGTAATTATTTGTTTACTGAGCATTTAGGAAATGTGTAATACATATACTCATTAGACCTCTAATTTAATTCAATGGTTGAAACAGATCTGAGAAAAAGGGAAATTATGTCTCCATCAAATGCTATGACTATGAATTTCAAATGCCTTGGAATGATGTGCCCTAGAAATCATGTACTATGTAATTACGTGTGTGTTGGTTCACGTGCCACTGTTAAAACTAATTATTCATAACATAAATACTAAAAATCTCTGAGAAACCCATCTTTTCTTTTCCTTTGTATTTTTTTCCCCACAGGGATTTGGGGAATTACTTGAGAAAGCAAAACAAAATAATAACAACAGCGACATCCCCAATGGTGACAGCAGCCTCTTCTTCAGTAACTTCGCACTACTCGGCACTCCTGTGCTCAGGGACATCAATTTCAAGATCGAGAAAGGACAGCTGTTGGCAGTTGCTGGGTCTACTGGAGCAGGCAAGGTTGTCTATTTTATTTCTTGTTAGTAAACACTTAATTTGACACCTATGCCTCCTTTCTTTTTCTAGCTCATTTGTTTTAGAAGAAGCTGTTTTAAAGAATTCATGAGTGGCGTATCAGGGAGATGCTTGGATGTAGTATGGTAATAATGTAACCTGTTCTGCTGTTAATTTCCTCTGGTCTTTGTTTCTTCCTATTATTCTCAGTGACTTTTCTTCTACATATTTATGCTTCGTGTCGTACCCAACCGTGACAGGGCATGCACATGGTGAGCATGTAGACAGATACCTTCTCAGCCCTGGTCCAGGCAAATCATAACTTCGATGCTTATCTCAGTAACCACACAGACAAAAGTTGTTCATTTTGTTGGCATTAGAATTTTGGAGAAGGGACTCACACTTGCTTATGAGACATTATGCAGGGAAGTTATTGAGTAGGGTAACTTTTTTGAAAGAATGCATAGGAATATTAATTTACTCATAAAAGTATGAGTTTTGGTCAGCCTCCTCTCTCTCTTCCTCAAACCCCAAGGATTTTTGGAGATATATCAGATAAAACTTAAAAGGGTAGAAAGCAAAAAATGACCAAACTTCGCTATTAAGAGAGGAGATGACTAAGAAGCCAGTGACTTTATAATGATTTTGCAAACGTAGGAGCTATCATTCAGATCATAAACACTTGCTCTCTTTAACCAAATGAATTTAAAGGGTATAAAGGAACCAACTTATATGGAATGGCATGAGTTACTAAGGTTGGCAGGCATTTGCTTTGTCTATGAAAATAGATCTTTGTTCCATTTTCCCACCTATGTTTGAAATGAATGTATAAGTTATTAAAGATTCCAAGTCCACTTCAGTTTTACTTTTCCTTCTTTTTCAGCCACTCAGACCAATATCTGAGGGTCAAGGAATCCGAAGGGATCTTTGATCCCATTTGACTGTTATTTTAGTGGTTGGGTCTTCTAGAAATGGGAGAAAAGGTTTCTTGGCATTTTTTAAAGAGCTAGTCTAGAATTCAAGCCCAGGACAAAGTACAGGGACAAAGACAAAAGCAGGGCTGGTATAAGATGAAGCTGGAAATGCAAATAGAAAATGAGAGGCTCCTTCCTGAAAGCCCAATAACTAAAACGGAGAACCAGGTTTTAAAGAATTTAGTGTTAGCCTGGGGAAGCAAAGTGCCACAGAGCAAAACACTGTACAGTCCTGCGCCATCCTTATAGTTGTTCTGATGCCTGAGCCTATTGATGGAGCCATTGTGTCCAGCCATCTTGTGGCGGGGTTTCCCCTCCTTCGCTGCCATCTGCATTACCAAACATAAAGCCCTTCTCAGTAACTGGTCCCTCCTGACAACATGTCCGAGGCAGGTAAGAGTTAAAGGTCGTCTAAATGAAGATACTGACTTGTGAAAGGAGCGGGAGGCAAGTGGCTGTGTTTCATCGAACTTTCAACGTTCGCTTTGTGTTTATGTGCTTACGATGGAGTCTCCGGGAGGTAGGCAAAACAGAGCTGTGCAAACAAAACAAAACAGAAACAGAATAGCTTTAGGAATTTACAAGACTTACCAGCAATTAAATCTCTGGCAGTTCTATTAGGGAATTGATGATCAGATAATTGCCGGTTGGAGTTGTCATCACATTTTATGGGAAGCAACTTTGAAGACAGAGTCAGACGAAGGCAGTGGCTCATTGGGAATAATTAATTCCTTCTGAGAAATGGAAATGCCAAGTCTATCTAGTTGAGTCCCATTTCTTAGTATGGGGAATGGGCATTTTATAATATTATTTCACAATAAGTCTAGCCAAAGCATAATCAGGAATAAGAGCACATGAGTATTTTCAGTTAAATTCCACCCACTCCATTTGTTGACTTGTATCCTGATGTTTCCTTATTTCATATTTTCTATTTTCATATTTTGTATACTAAATAATGCACACAGAAGTTGCATATAAAGATAGTTGTCACTACTCTCTTCGCAATAGCCAAAAGTTGGGGAAAATCCTAACTGTCTAATCATAGGGTTGGGTCCATAAATTTGGATGGAGTTACAGAAGGAGGGCTGGTGGTGCAGTGGTTAAGTGCTCGGCTCGGGATTCTCGTTTCTACCTTATATGTATTTTTATGTGAATATCTTATTGTGATTTAAGTGGACGCTTACAGAAATTTTCCCACTCAACATTTGATGTAAGCTCTGCTCATGCCATTAGTTGCAGCTTCCCGTTCCATTCACCTGTCTCCTTCTGCCTTCTGAACTTCGTGTTTAGGTTGGTTTTGTTCATCTGTAGTTGGTTGCTCTGAGGTGAACCTTCCCCCCTGGTGGGGTTTGTTCTCCTTGAAGGTGTGTTTGCTGTCTGGCTGCACGGGGGTGGCTTTGCTTTCAGATTTGAAGGGTGTCTAAGCGCCATAGTCTTGGGTTCCACCAGTCTCTATCAGACCAATAACTCTGATCTTTTTTGTGGTTTTGAATTTTCTTCTACATTTCCCCACTCTGTCCAAGACCTTCCATTGTAACCCTACTGATTAGGATTAGAGGTGAAGTCATCTGCTTC